TAAAAAGAATAATATTTTTATAAAATACATTTTAAAAAACTATGAAAGAAAGAGAATTTCCTAGGTTTTGAAGAATGAAAAAAGAGTAAGAAAAAAATAAAGGAGTGTTGACATGATACAAAAAAAAAAAAAAAAAAAAGGTGTCTACGTCCTTGCATTTAAGGTTGAACGGTGTGGTGAATTACACTCCATATAGGATGATTGTGCTATTTTTATCATTTTTATCACTTTCAATTGATCCTAAGATGTGGTGCTTATATATTATCACCAGTAAAGAAAGAGTGAAGAGATTGAATGCGAACGGTAAAGGAAGAAAGAGATGACAATGGAAACACATCGCCGGTAAAACAAAGGGTAAGGGACGCTGATCACCACCATTAAAAACTGCCACATAAAATTGTGGTCGGTAAAAACACTGCCACACTTCCTGATCTTAAAACATATAGTTATGTAGACCTTTTTTTTTTAATCACCACTACCTATTATTGCAATATTTTATTTGCTGTATCTTTTTATCGAATTATTTGTTTTTGCTATTTAAATGATTATCGATGGTGAACGAGATAATTTTATGTGTTAACATTTTATTAATAAAAAAATAGATATTCAATAATTCTTTTATTATTATTATTATTATTATTATTATTATTATTATTATTATCAAGGGTTGATGTGACATATTAGGATACATGTATATTGTTATCATAAATGTGTTGTGAAAGTTCATTTAATATTTTATTAATATTATAATCATAATCTAATTAACTTGAGATAAATTACTAATATATTTTAGGTTAGATTTTCTTTAATGTAACGTATTTTTATGCACAATAAGAATATATATATATATATATATATATATATATATATATATATATATATATATATATATATATATATATATATATATATATATATATATATGTTAAGGTTCATTTGAGATCATTCTAATTTTGTGAGAACGTGAGATCAAATCTAAAAATAATTTTAAAATGCAAAATAAATGGAAAAATCCAAAAATTCTTTTTTTAAATATTATTTTCGGAACTTGAATTAACTAAAAAAAATAAAAAAATTCCGTTATTTTTTTTTTTGAAAAATACTTGAAATATTCTAAATAGAATATTACACTGACATATTCTAAAAAATAATTTTAAAATGCAAAATAAATGGAAAAATCTAAAAATTCTTTTTTTAAATATTATTTTCGGAACTTGAATTAACTAAAAAAAATTTTAAAAAAATCTATTTTTTTTGAAAAATACGTGAAATATTCTAAATAGAATATTACACTGTACATATTCTAAAAATAATTTTAAAATGCAAAATAAATGGAAAAATCAAAAAATTCTTTTTTTAAATATTATTTTCGGAACATGAATTAACTAAAAAAAATTAAAAAAAAATTAAAAAAATAAAAAAATACGTCTCACGGTCTCACAAAATATAGGTGGTCTCAAATGAACCTAACCCTATATATATATATATATATATATATATATATATATATATATATATATATATATATATTCCTCCACAAATAAATAGATGGAATCATAAATAAATATATACTTTGTTCTCGCATTCTCAATCTTTTTTATGTTCTCATTTAATCATACTCATATATATATATATATATATATATATATATATATATATATATATATATATGGAGTAGGATCAAATGAGAACACCAAAAAGGTTGAGAACGTGAGAAGAGATCTAGGCCCTCCAAATTTTAAAATCAAAGGTTAATATTAACGGGACATTTATATAAATTCAGAAAGTCATAGGATTAAAGTGTAACTTCTTAATTAACTAAAAGGGTACTATAGTTATTAGGTTCTATCTTATTTTTATCAGCTCCTAAAATCTCTCTCTCTCTCTCTCTCTCTCTCTCTCTCTCTCTTTCGTTTCCTTTAAACCCTAATTAATGGAAGCCAACACTAAAAAAAACGTATGCCTCTCCCTCTCATCTCTCCACTGCCGATCATTTGAGTTTTCTTCAAACTAGCCGCCACACAAGACAAAAAACACCACCACTGCCATCGTGATTGTCGAATCTGCCAGCAACACCACCGCTACTGTCATCATCACACAACAATTATCTCTGCGAATGCTGCTGGAAGCGACCAACAAGGGTTTGAAGGGCCCACTTGCGAGCCAAGGAAGGCAGTCAGCGACGTTTGTGGTCGGAAGTCGTGATGGTGAGGGGAACGTCTCTGGGGTCGGCGAGGCCGAAGAGGAGGAAAGGAGACAAAAATGTAATACTCACTCCATTTCTTACTTTCCGTGTCCATCTATCCCCCGTAACTTGATCATTGCCATTTACACCTTTTCTTCGAGTGATCACTGCTAGAAATACTCTGCTCCCAGGTTAGTTGCAGAAACTCATAATTTGTTTACCAACAGGGAATTTGATATGAGTTGATTATATGTAATTACCTTGCTTGTAAAAAGTAAGACAAATGTGTGTTATTTTCCAACTTGGTTATATGACTTTTTGTAAGCCCACTCTAATTTCGTCTAAGGGGCCTTATTCCAAAAGGTTCTTAAGCTGCTTAGGGCCTAAGTCATCCAATTAGGGTTTTAACTGAAAACCTAACAACTCAGCTATATAAGGAACCCCAGGGCTTCAGTTTCGGCTACACCAAGAAACCCTAGAGTTACTATAGCTGAAATTGTGCCTCACTCCTTTTCTATTCTAGATCATCTTCTTGCTTGTGGTGTTTATGAGTCATTAGAGGTGTTACACTTTTGACGCTAAGCCTCTTGAAGATTGAAGATTCTTGTAATTATTGAAATGTATAATCTAAACTTGTTTTGTTATAGATCTCGATTTCAAAGTATGCTAGATTAGGGTTTATGAGCTTTGGATAAATTTGCATGTACAATAGAGAAACCTAGATCCAAAGCTATATGGTTTTGCATGTGCACATAGGATGTTCTTTTGCTCAAAACCCATCAATTAATTTATTCCATACATTCTTCAACAATTTAATAAACACTATATGATTTATTCCATACATTCTTTAACAATTTAATAAACACTATATGATTGTACTACATTATATTATGTATTTATTTTAAGGTTGATATCATAAAAATATTTTATATTATATTTTCCTGGTTTAAACCATAATTTTATTATATAGTTTTTTTCTTAAGAGCACTAACATTTTGTCATTTTAAAAGAATTTCTAACTTTTTTTTTTTTGAAGAGAAACCTCAATTTTTTAATTATATCCGGAAAACCTCAACTATTTAACTAAATTTTTGAAAAATTCTTGCACTTGACACTTTTTGTATGTTAGAAATTATTAATATGGTCGAACCCAAAAAATAAAAAGTACAAAGGCCTTTTAAGAAAAAAAAAAGTACATAACTAAGGCTTAATCCAAAAAAGCACTATATTATTTTAAACCTTTTATTTATATAAAAACTAAATTTGCAAATTTCTACATGGTTCTAAGATTGGAAGGAGTTGTAGTAATCCTAGCACATTGTCACATAACATTTTTTATTATCATATAAGCTTAACATATATAGATTGAAAATGATAGGAAGTGACGGTGTATAATTTTAATAGGTTTTGTTTTGAAAAAAAATACAAAATACTTACAACCAATCACAACACAATACTTTTTCTCTCTTTTCTCATTTTGGGTGTAGCGAGCCATCATCAACAAGTCATCTAGCGAAGGTTAAGGGTGGTGTAGCATCTCCCTAGCGAGGGTAGTGGTGAGGCTTAACACCTCCCACTGGCTAAAGCCTAAATGACGCACCATAACGAGAGCTATGGTATAGCTGTCTCGAAAACGTCTGATGCGAGTTTTGTTAAGCATGACACCCAAATAACGTATCAAGACATGTTATGTTGTTATATGGTACAAGTTTTTTAAGGCATATGTTTTTTGTTTGTTTTTTCTAATTGGGAATGAAACAGTTGAGTTTTGTAAACTTTTTTCATATTAAGTGTTAGATTTAGCTTTTTTAAAAACGATATAAATTGATTATTATATGATTTTTTTAATATATATAAAATTATACTAATAGCATAACGTGATTTAAAACTTGACCTTTACACCTCGCCTCATACTATATATAATATATAGAATAGAACCTGAGTTTTCTATAAAATCTGGATAATAAGATTTGTTTCATCGATTTTAAGAAGATATAACATTAAAGCAAGGGTTTGGTGCCACTTGTCTTCATGTCAAGTGCACGTCTTGGACAACTCATAAACACTATCAATACACCATATCAAATTATCTTGATAAACTCCTCTGACTATCTCTCTCTCTCTCTCTCTCTCTCTATCTGCTTTGCTGGATTTCAAGCTCTCAATTGTGGGTTTTAATGGCGTTTGTCTGCTAAGTGAACCAGACCGAAACTAAACCTTATAGTTTTCGGATCATCATCATCATCATCATCATCATTATTATCAGAACAACTTACGACTGCTGTGTGATACTCTTTCTCTCACTCTTTATTGTCCAAACAAGGGTTCGTTTGTGAATACCCAATTCCGTTTTTGGTTTGATTTGATCCGTAGATCTAACTGTTTCACTTCCAGATCTTCTTCTCCTTGTAACTTCGAAGGCAGCTACAAGTGTGAGCAAATTTTCTTAATTACTTCAATCGGATTCTTAATTAACTTAGTTTCCAACTCTTGAGAATCTCGAAGAAGTTAGGGTTTTATGGTTTCTGTTGAATGGTCGTAAATACTCCACAAGTTTTTGAATTGGTCAATTAGGTTTGACTATATTTTAATTAGACCACTCTATTTTCTAAATTCTGTGCCCCTTTTTCTCCCTTTTTGTAAATTTCAACTTCTAAAGCTCTTATGATCATGTGTGTTACGTTACATCGATTGTAACATTTGAACTGATCCCTACAGTTTTCTGAATTCAGGATTTTACAGATCGAAATCTAATTTTGGGGGAAATCTTAATGAAATGAGGATACTTCCAAGAGATGTTGTGATGAGATGAGGCATGTTATCTGGGTTCATGAACTTTTTGTGGGCCTGTTTCCGGCCACGCTCGGACCGACATGTTCACAATGGTTCTGATTCCGGCGGTCGTCAAGACGGACTCTTATGGTACAAAGATACAGGACACCATTTTAATGGCGATTTCTCCATGGCTGTAGTTCAAGCCAATAATTTACTAGAAGATCAAAGCCAACTCGAATCCGGGTGTTTAAGCTTACAAGAATCAGGCCCTTATGGTACGTTTGTAGGAGTGTATGATGGACACGGAGGCCCTGAGACATCACGATTCATCAACAGTACCCTCTTTCATCATCTCAAGAGTAAGTCAAAGTCAATAACCCTAAAAAAATTTAAGTTCCTGTGCCCCCATTAAGTGAAAAATCTTTCTTTTGTTAGGGTTTACTTCAGAGAATCAATCGATGTCAGTGGAGGTAATAAAGAAAGCCTTTCAAGCAACAGAAGATGGTTTCAGCTCCATTGTGTCTAAACAATGGCCGATGAAACCACAAATCGCAGCCGTTGGATCATGTTGCCTTGTTGGAGTTGTATGTAGCGGGAGCCTTTACATTGCCAATCTTGGAGATTCTAGAGCTGTTTTAGGAAGACTTGTGAAGGCAACTGGTGAAGTTCTTGCAATTCAGCTTTCAGCTGAACATAACGCATGTATAGAATCTGTGAGACAGGAATTGCACTCTACGCATCCAGATGACTCGCAGATTGTCGTTTTGAAACATAACGTGTGGAGAGTCAAAGGCCTCATTCAGGTAAATATCAACGTGCTTTTAGCTTTAATTTCCGAATATACAACTTATGATTTTTACTTTTTTTAATACAGATATCAAGATCTATTGGTGATGTGTATCTAAAAAAAGCGGAATTCAATAGGGCGCCTTTATATGCGAAATTCAGGCTTCGTGAACCTTTTAAAAGACCGATTTTGAGCTCTGATCCATCGGTTTCAGTGCACCAATTGCAGCCACATGATCAGTTTATCATTTTTGCTTCCGATGGACTTTGGGAGCACCTTAGCAACCAAGAAGCCGTTGATATTGTTCAAAATAATCCACACAGTGTAAATTCCCTAACTTATTACCCAAACGCTAAAATATATTTTATTTTTCACCGATTAAAAAAACACCAAATATAGACTTTGGAGGTTCCAACTTCCAACTCCTAGATAGATAGAGAATTTTTATAATTTTCTATCACTCACTTATTTAAATTTAAATGTAATATAAAGAAATGAAAGTACACAAGTACATTGTTATTTCTTGAATACTGAATTATCACAATAAACATGGCATATTTGTTGATGCAGGGGAGTGCTAAAAGATTAATAAAAGTGGCATTACAACGAGCCGCAAAAAAGCGGGAAATGAGATACTCCGATTTAAAAAAAATCGACCGTGGGGTCCGCCGACATTTCCATGATGACATCACCGTTGTGGTCCTCTTTCTTGACTCCAACCTCATGACCCGTCGAACCGCTAACGTATCCGTGAAAGGAGCCGGGGTTAGCCTGCCCTCAAACACACTCGCACCCGAAACCGGCCCCACCTAGTTCTCTCTCTTTAAATCATCAAAAAGCTATACATATATATACATATAGAAAACTGTATCTATATCCCTCTCTTAGTTTTTAAATTTCTTGTACTATTTTCTCAAGTGTGAATACCCACCCTATTAAATGGTCACAAACATGGTATAACCCAGTGGTGCACCGTGGTTCTTTGGCTCGGGTCGAACCAGGCAACCACGGTGCATTGTGGTTAACCGAACCAAGCCGACACATAGTTGAAGTTAAAATTTGTTAAATGTAACAGTGTGATCTCTTTAAGTGAGAGTGCTAATGCTAAAACTTTACAGATATAAGCGTATAGTTTATTATATTCCCTTATTGGGTGGTGGTGATTTTAGATTATAAGTTTGTTTTTACTTTTTACATGATTTAAGTGGTAACTTTGAAGTTAAAAAGTAGTGTAGGGGGTTTGGGTCGTTGAGTCGAGTTTGTGTATAGGACTAGACAAGTTTTTATGTTGTATATTATTATCGGTAGAAAAATAAAAATATGTGTTTATACGTATTATGTATGGAGACGTTACTATTATAGATAAAAAAAGGTATGAGTTGTTTAGTAAAATGTCATTCTCATTTTCTATCATAAAACAAAACGACAATCAAGTTTGTTAAATTCATCATCTGATTAAGGGAGGAACATTTTCCAATAATAAAGTGACACCTTTTGCTACCATGGATGTGTGGTTGCCACGTAATATAGTTATGTGGTTTAAATAATAAATTTTAACCGAGTTATTATTAAATATTTTTAGGGATTTTCTTTATACGCACATCAAACTAATCTCTAACCTATTAAAAAATATAGCCTATTTTGATTATAGATCCCTTTAAAGCGTATAAAAATATAGCTAATTCTAACCGTATAGTCATTATCACCGTTTTAAGTTGAATATGTTATATAAAAGTTATTATCATTATGATTTTTAAGGTTTGAAACCGTATAAAAGTTTAATCACAATTATTTGAAATTAAATTGTTTATATCTTTTTATTTTTGTATAAGTACGGTTTTTATTTGGTATCTAAAACCAATTGCATAACCTTTTTATTTTTTTGCATAATTACCATTTTAAAAAATTTCAATTTAAGATAAAATTAATAACAGTTCAATTTTTTTTAATAGTAATATAAAAATAATATTAATATAATTAATATAGTAATATAAGCTTTTTGAATGAACCATGCAAAAGTATATAATATACACGAATTTTTAAGTATAAAATATAAATAAAAAAAGGAACTAAAAAAAGGAATATGCAGTTAAAAAAACGAGTTAGTAATAAAACACTTAAAAATTAAGTTAAGTAATATTAATAAAGATAGTAATAAAAAGTAATTATTATATAATAAATTAAGAATGATTAGGTTATAATAAAAGTTAGTCAAATGATAATAATTACCATATGAACACAAAAAATAAACCTATTAAAATAAGTTAATTTTGTAGATTGATGTGTCCTACTTTAGACACACCAGTCTATTATATTTTGGTCTATTTTTTCATTTATTTTTCTCAATAATGATTAAAAACACTATTTTATGAATGTCATTATTACAATAATAATTAAGTAATGAGTATTTATTTATTTTTAATTAATAAATATAATATAAATAAAATTTTATTTTTTTAATAAAAAAACCTAATTGTAATTTGTAAAATATATTATTTAATAAAACTACTAGGACAAAAATTAAAAGTAAAATCTATTTTTTAAAGCCCATTTAATCATATATTAGCGTATAACATTGTTCGATATTATATATTAAAATTATATATCAAATCAAATAGAAAAAATGTATTTTTCTTAAATAAATTATTCATATTGACGTAATCATATAAATGTTTTCAATTTTTTATGTAGCATATAAAGTAACAATAATTATATTTCTTTTATATAATATAAATATATTCTTTATTGAAAAAAAATATGCCTACAAATCATTAAAAACAATACAAACTAAGATTTAAACAGTTAAAAATAATAAGACTAAATATTATATTTCATTTTAGAAATTAATAATTATAAATATAATCGTATTTATCTTTTATTAATAAATATTATTAAACATATGGGTTTAACAAATCTTTTAAAAGAAAAAAGATATTTAAAAATAAATAAAAGTTGATATACAGGGTTGAAACATTAAATTTAAAAAAAAAAAAAAAAGCTGAATAATAGAACTTAATCACCCAAAAATTGGCCATATCTTTAAAAAAAAAAAAAAAAAAAAAAAAAAAAAAAAAAAAAAAAAAGGGTTTACTCCTATGCGTGCATTAGCAGCGAAAAAAAAAAGGCGCGCCTGGCTCATTGTCGGCCATTTTTTCTTTAATAAATTGGTTTATTATTGGAGTTTGAGGATTAGAGTTTTTTGTGCCAAAATATATAGATCGGTGTGTGGGGGTTAAAAATAGGTTGGTGTATATAAAGAATTGCCCTATTTTTATTTGAAAAACAATTATTAGTAATGTAGATTTATAGTTAATCTATTAGTTTTTTTTTTGAATTATCAGTTTTTAGTCTGAATTATTGGTAATGTATACCATGAATTGATAATTTTATAAACCATAACTTTATAAATTATAAATCAAATATATAATGATTTATATATATAACGAATAACAAAAAATATAAAAAAAATAATACTAAACTTTTAATAAACATAATAACACAAAAATATTTATATTAAAATTTTTTAATATACTTTTAAAAGTCATATAAAAAGAATATATAAAAATCATAATACATCCGATATATAGAAATACATAGTGTGGTACATATATTTTACTAATATATGCATGTATTGTAGACACCTATTGTGTGTACTGCATGGTTTGATGTAGAAGCTACATAGTAACATAACTTTGTCGATCACCTAGAGTTACATTATGTATTTACTTGGTTTTTAATTATTCAGAAGATAATAATGATCTAAAGTCAGAAAAATGCCACACTTAAGCACACACATGTTGTGAACACTATAAGAGAACTGGACATTAGGGTGTAAAAAATAGACCATTGTGATGTAATTTAATTAATTAATAAAAGTAACCATTATATTCCTACGTAAGAGTTATTTTTACAACAACTCTTAATGCTCATTCGATGCATCATGTGAGAGAGATGTATACCAAACATACGATAATCAATTCATAATAATCCCATTGCATATTTTAATTGAATCAATCATAGTGTATTAGTGCAGTTGTCAAGAACTTAACTCTCGGATAGTCCATTATGTCCCAAAAGCAAAAAAAAAAATTAAAAAGAAAATGAAACACCATTTTTAACCACATAAAAAAAAAAAATAAACAATTGCCGTTTCTTATCTATTGATTTATATTTTGAGAGATAAGTTCACAAAAAGGACAACTTTTCTTCTCGTCTTCTCCTCAAATGCAAGTCTTAATTTTTTTGGGGAAAATTGCGAGTTACGACAGGGACATTCCCATCCTTTGGGTCAATTTTCACCAAATCATTACATCAATGACAATGACAATATACAAAGATTCAATGGAGGGATAATACAAAATCCCGTATCTCTGAAGCGCATTGGAAGCAGTGAAGAAGGTTGCAATTGTGAAAGATCTATGAAAATACCTTTGTTAGGTAATTTAAAATAATGAAAGGTTTTATCCAAGATCAGTCCATTGATTTTCTATATCAGAAGATAATAAATATAATGTCCTAATGTTATACAATATAGAAAATGCATATATATAAATACAAAAACTTAATAATACTCCTCAAAACGCCAAATAAATATTCATATGTTTTAAATTTCAGCAATTATAACTTAACTAATTTTATTGAAACCAAACATGTTTTTACAAGATAATATAACATAATACTATAACAGTCACATGATATTACATTATAACTATTTTTAATGCAGCCATTCATCATGTCAAAGAATCCATATAAATAACATATAAAGAATACCGTTGTTTTGAGTAAATGTATAATAGACAAGCTTAAAAAAATTTCAAACAATTGTTTTGAGTAAATGTTTAACAGGCAAACTAATAAAAATTCATAGTTAATAATCCACATGTAAACACGTCTCGAATCAACCGGGAAAATAAAATTTACTAAACTTTAAAGATAAAAACCAAACACTTTGCGACGAAACAAATAAGACAAATCTAAAATGGTTAAGAAGATATAAGATCGTAAATGAATTATAAAAGCTTTCAGTAACATAACAAAAATCTATCCTATCCTTTTATCATATTGCAGTGAATTTTCATGACATAGTGGACATATTAGAAAAATAACACCACAAAGAAATATGTGGCACCTGTCTTTATCTCGTTTAGGTATTTCATTGAACATTTGACATGCGACTTTAACGACGTAAAAATTAATAAGAACTTCTATGTATATGCCCTCCCATAAATTCAGATATTTTCCTGGATGTAACGAAAAAAAAAAAAAACAGACATAGTATTAGCAAAATTCAAATACAAATGGTTATACAAAAATCGAATTGAAACATACTTGCTAATCGTCAATCTTCTTCTCCATAGCATAAAGATGGTATCCATGGAATTAGACGAAGCACTATTGGGTAATTTTGATGAATCAAGACAAGATATGCTCATAAAAGTGAAATAATTAAAAAGAACATATGAGAATGAAAAACATTTTGCAAGTTCCGATCCAAAATAGATATTCTGGATATCGTATTTCATTTCAAGGACTTAAACAAAGAGTCCTACTAATTGGACCCTATATTTCATTTCAAGGACTTAAACAAAGAGTCCTACTAATTGGACCCTATATTTTTTTAGGGATCCCTCGTTAATGATTTTTTAGGTATAAATTTTCATGTATTTATAATATCAATAGCTTGTATGATTATTAAAAACTATTTTTTTTAACTCGTACCTATCATTTAATTACTATCAATTTTTTATTTATAATATATTTTATTCTTTTATAATCAAATAATAATACAATGTGTCAATGTTTTCTGTATATTTTAATATTTTCTATATTTTAATATTTTTATAAACCAAGAAATAAAAATAAAATGACATTAAATATCTAAATGAAAACTAAATATTATTAATAGAAAATATAGTGACGGTACATATATCTACAACGACCATTGTTTCTTATAAGTACACAAGCATACACCAATCTGAAATGAACATCTACACACACAAAAATCTCATTCTTCCCACAAAATAAAGAGAGAATGAGGAAAAGAAAGGTGGTGAGTCGGCAGTTGGGGTTGTCCGACGGTGGCGGCGAATGAGTGGCTTCCGTGGTTCGACGAGACGAAGACACACACACCAAAAAATCTAATTGTTCCATTAGAATTTTATGTGTGAATATAAATGAATTATTTTTAAGTATGAAAATATATTTGAATTATTTTGTTATGTATTGCATTGGAATTTTTTTTTATTATTATATCGTATTTGAAGTCACTTATTATTATACTTTCATATAAAATGCATATAAAAATGGAAAAAATAATTAAATTTTTTTATTTAAAATATTTTATTTTATAGATTTCAAAAAAAAATTATTTTAATACTTTTTTTATAAAAATGATATTCTTTTTTTTTTCTATAAACAAATCTTTATATTGAACCTTTTTATTATGTAATGATTAGTTTTATTTAAAGTAAAATATAAAATAATCATGAGAGGTCTAATATTATGTAATTGTAATTAATAAAAAGATAATTATTTTGTAATGATTAGTTTATTTTAGGAAAAAAAAGTTAGAGTAATTATTAGGAGGTCCTTTAAAAATATAAAAAAGGTCCAAATAACTGGACTCTCAACAAAACATATATTCACTCGAAAAGCTTCAAGCCTTTCAATTTGAATCCGATCTTCACAAACGCAGAGCGATTCATTCCAGATTTCAAGTGTGTAAGCAACCCGTTTCATTTACTGAAATGTCGTGTGTCTACTCGTGTTCTAAAATTGGAGATGTATTTTCTTTTGCCCAGTACAAGTCGGTGCGTCGCTCCCCCTATTTGAGGGAGTTGGATCAATGGAGGATAAAAAATTAGACCAAATGAATACATACCCATAAAAATTTTACGAAAACTTATGCCCTCTTACATTTTGCTGCTCTTGGCCCAGTTCGCCCAGCCTTTCGGCCAACCCTACTTTTTATCAAACTAATCATTTTTATTCATCTGTCCTTCTAGTATATTATGTATTTTCTTTATGTTTGTGTTATAGGTTTACATGTTGAAGGGTGCATTGTGTAAAGTGTTTGGGTTATCTCGCGGGTCATTGGGTTTATTTCAACCCGATGTATATAATGGTTTGTAGTAACTGGTTAGGTCATTAGATCATAGATATTTTTTGTGTATTCTCTCTCAGTTAGCGGTCTCTAGATTAGGGTTGGTGTCCTTCATTCATAATCCTCATATATCTAAGTGTTCATATGGGAGAATATAGGGAATTTGTAGTGAGGTTTTGATTGTAAAAGCACATGTAAACGTTCTGATTTAGTTTGAAATCAAGTTATTCATGTTGTCAAATCTCGTTTATAAATTTTTCATGGTATCAGAGCACAAGGTTGCTCCGTTGGTTTGATTTCTCTGATCCGTTCTCTATCGTTCATTGTCTGGATCTAGTCGTAAAACAAAGTGACATTTCTTGTTCCTGTTATTAGATTTGATTTTCTATCTCTACTTTCTTCGAGACGATATGTGTTCTCTATGGAGGAAACTATAATATCCCAAAAATTCATAGTAAAATTGTCATTTTTAAAACCATAAACAATACAAAACGATTTGTTTCAAAACCGGCCAAAATAATTATATCATTTAAACATCATAATAAAAGTCATAAAAGGCTAATGCAGAAAATGTCGGGGGATGCTATGCAGTCACGCCAAACCTTTTCATTTGTAACCAGAAGTACTTGAAACCATAAACACATAACTGTTAGCATAAAGCTTAGTAAGTTCCCAAAATACCACATATCATACATATATTGGGCCCCGCCTAACATCCATCGGTCCCTGCCCGATACAGATTTATCAGAGAATCAATCGATGTCATTGGATGTAATAAAGAAGGCCTTTCAAGCAACAGAATATGGTTTCAACTCCGTTATGTCTTACAATGGTCGATGAAACCACAAATAGTAGCCATTGGATCATGTTGTCTTGTTGGAGTTGTATGTAGTGGGAGCCTTTACATTGCAAATCTTGGAGTGTAACATCCCAAAATTTAATGCCAAAAATTTCATTTTTAATTGAGTAACTTATAAAATCTTTTACAGAAAACATCATCAATATCATATCAACCTATAATCTCATAAGTCATATATCATAAAACATGTCGTGGATTAATAATAATGTCAGAGTACAATCCCATGGATCTCAAAATGTCGGTGCCTTCGCGCGATCCTGAGAAGTACTTGAAACACATAACACGTAAAACAGTAAGCACAAAGCTAGTGAGTTCCCCAAAATACCACACACAATTCATTATCCACTCGAGGCTATAACTTCATAAGACCCTCTGGTCTCACAGCTCGGGTGGACCCTCCGGTCCTAACTCAGTAAGATTATAATAATACACATCATAAATCACAAAGAAATAATACAGGATATCACAATGGTCGATATAAACACATAAGACCTTCCATTCACACAACTCAGATTACCACTCCAAGTATGTATAGTGAGAAGACTCACCTCGTAAGAATTAGGATAACCTCGAACTGGAATTACCAGTCTAGCCTCACCTAACACATACGATAATTATCCCTAATTAATAATGGCTCTCAATAAAGCTAGACTAACCCTTTTACACTCACAGAAGGGTAAAAGACCATTTTACCCATCTATAGCCTTAATAGTCCACAAATTGACCAAACCCCAAAAGTCAACCAAAAGTCAATGGCAGCGCGTACGTTGCGCGTACCAGCTCTCTACATTAGGCGTACTCCGCTGCTAGGCAGGCATCGGGGATGTTCGACCCCTACACGGCGCGTACTGGGATTACGCTCAGCGTACGTCCCAGTTTCACTCTTTCTACTTATTTGGTCTTAATCAGTTAAGACCTTGGCTCATATCACAGATTTAGACTCCCTCAAGGCTCTTACTCCATAAAGTTAGTGACTTTAAGCCTTTGCATGGTTGATAAGGTCACAAACACCCAAAACTCTTACTTTCTTATCTCAAAATGCTCATATCTCATGCATGGCTTGATTCCAACGTCTAAGTCTCAATTTTTATGACACTACACCACTAAAGACACTCAAAGGAGCTGCTCATAATCTCTGGTGCTCAATTATTTCATAAAGTCTCCAACTTTTGGGACAAAACCCTAAAATGCTCTAATATGATGCATAAATAAAAAGAGTGAGAAAACTTGGAGCTTTATACCTCTAGATGAAGCTCCCAACTCAAATATGCTCAGATCAAAGGCCTGAACTCTCACTCCTTCTTCTCCAAAGCTCATTCTTCACTCCAAGAACACATAAAATCACTTAAAGGCTCTCAAATGTACTCACAAGCTATATGAACGAAGGTTTAGGGTTTTAGAGGGTTGTTTGCCTGAGGATGGTGGCCAGGAATGAGGCCATCATATCCTTTATATAGGGACACACCCCAAATTAGGGTTTTCACTCTGGGCCTAATATGCCTAGCATACCCTCTGGTACGCCCAGCATACTAGGTGGCTTCCGCATCAATAACACACACACGAGTACACTGAGCGTACACTCGCCTACTTATTTGCCACCATTTTCTCTATAAGGGCTAAACTTGACAAGTACCAAAAGAACAAGGGTTTATAAGGTATACCTGGACTTGGGATGTTACAGTGTCCCCCTCTCCTCGTGCTACGTCATTCATATCCTGATGAATCCAATCATCAGATGTGTGTGGGTTGAAATCAAACTTTAAAAATTCGTATATCTCGCAAGCGAGCTCCGTTTTCAACGAATCTTATATATCCGTGTAGGTCTCGACGTATACTACAACTTTCATTTTGGTCGTTTTGGCTAATTCTAACTCTTGTTTTAGCTTATACTTTGTAATCGTTATGATTTTATAAAAATCATAACTCTCTCATATGGTTTCCATTTTAGGCATTCTTTGTCTCAAAACTCCCACTTTGAGTAGTTCTATGTTTATCATTTTGGCTACTTCTGTCGAAAGTTAATCGTTCTCTTCGTAGTTTTTGATGTTGTAACTTTTTATGTGCGGTAGATTTTTATTTACCATAAAAATTTATATCTCTTCTACACTAAGTTGGGTTTGTACGAAGTTTATATTTTTGGAATCACGACAGCACGTATATTCTAAAAATGTTAACTTGTTCTCAATGTGACACGATTTTCCACGCACTAAATTCTGAGTCTAATTGTTGACATAATTAAGGACAAAAATCAAATATATTTATTTATATGTTGATTGATTATATGGTTTTCCTATTACATGTTGTTGACAACGTTAGATTCTTAAGACGGTTGGTGATGTATTTCCCTGGTTATCATAATGTCACACTCTGCCAGATGGTACATTTGGTTGCCAGAGTCCCCACCAACAGCTGATAATAGTTCTCCTATATAGATACCCTTCAAAAAACATTCACCAATACCAATAACCCTTCTACATCCTTCAATCCAACCATGCTTGACACCCTTCAGGAAATCATACAACATTTTAGAGTGAATTGTAGAATCGGGCATAAGATTCACCTCTATTGACTAGTGATAATGTTGAACCCGTATTAGACCTTAGTAACCCGGCACCATAATTCCACACCTTTTCATAGTGTCCCACCGAACTTCTTGAATTAAATCTCATCCAATGCAAAACTCTTGGCATTTCTACACTGCCCAACACTTACATTAAGACCAATGTTTTTCTTCACTAATGCTACCATTTTCCTGTAACTAAGCCAAAGTTTTTCCAAAATGTCATTTATTAACATTTTACTAATCCAGTTGTATGTCACAATAGACCCCGAGTTCACCGCTCTAGTGCTCTCCAACATTTATGTTCATTAATTAGTGATCTGATTTGGAATGAATCTTCACTACTCAGCAGAGTAGCCCATAGTCTAAAAGGGACACATTTCCTTCCTTATTTTTACAATGCCTCACGAACAATCTAGTTGAGTCATTTTTATACCACAATGCATAACTTTTAAACACATCATAATTCGTTGTCATTTACTTCAATTCATACCGATCATAGAATCTCATACCTAATATGGGAACCATTGTGTCCCATTTCTAGTTGGGATCATGAATAGGAAATTATGACACCTTATCATCAACTTCATCCTCTACCCTTCCTTCTGAAATAGGATTTTTGTGGGACAAAAAAAGATCAACATATTTTGGAATTTCAATAATCTCATCGTTAGCTTCATGGTTTACTGACACATCATCTAACATGACCAGGTCCACATCATCTTCACATATATCACCAACACTGTCCCCTTCTTCAACTTTCTCTTCTTCAATCCATTCCATAATTGTCTCATGGTAATGATCAATATAAATACCGATTTTACAACCATTACTATATCCAACATCAAGAAACCTCACATAAAAGTCTTCGTCTCTCAGCTCTCTTAACCTATCTATTATGGCCCGATTTAGAAGACAATAATACATTTCATGAAATTTATCCTTTATCAAATTCCGGAGGTAGATAATGAAGTCATTGAACTCCATGTTTTGTAAGTCAATCCTTGTAACAGAAGTGTTTTGAGGTGAGAAGTAAATAAAAGGCTTAGGAACAAAAGTATCTTTGTAGTAAACATCTATACTAAGTGTACCTTCAGATGAGAACAACATTCTTGCGGTAGAACTCGATGTCATTTATTAATTTCTGAATTTGACCATTTTTTTTTTTTTTTTTTGTTATTGTAATCGACAGATAGTGGTTACCACTGAGTGAGATCTGGTAATATTCAATGATGTTTTTTATACAAAGTGCTAAGTTAGGATGATCTTTTCTAAACAAACCAAATTTTGATAGTATTTTTTGAGCCATTTTGAAACTTTTTTACCATTTTAAGTTATTATTATTATTATTATTATTGCAAAAAAAGTTTAAAAAAAAGATTATTTATTATTGTTTTTTTTTTTTCAAAATATATGGAGGCCAAATGAAACCAAAGAGATAGATACAGTGATACACTGATACAGGCTATCATCTTTCACAAGTTGTTTACATTCACTTCCTCCCTAGTGTAACAGGTATATATGCTTGTGGATAAAATCCCCGAGAACCCCTCCCCTCCCATCCATCGCCTCCCACCCACGGCGTGACGTACTACTCACGAACTAAAACCCTAACCGCCATCGGTCCACCACACTCCAGCCACCCCAACTCGCTGGTCTCCGCCGCTCAAAACAGTCCCTTTCATCCTCCATTTCTATTTGACAAAGAGGAAGAAGCGTAGACGCAAGCACCAATCAGTGCACAACGGATTTCGAATTTCAAGAGGTTTTTTTCTACTGTGCGTAGTTCCGACTTCCGAGTTCTTTTCCATTCCTTTTGCTACTGTATTTCGTTTGTCCTTCTAATTCTACCGTATGGTTTGTTATTTTCCATTTTTTTTCTTTCTATTGCCTCAATTTCTACTTCGATTGTATGATCACCCACATTTCTTCGTTAAAATTGAGTTTTGATTGTATCTTGGTTGTGTTTGCGTATATGTGAAGTAACATGTACTAGTTTGATGCGCAGGTATGCTACAACATTGTGATAACCATCTGGTTATCAAGATTCAAGAATGACAAGTAGTTTGTGACTTGGAAGGTGTTGTACTTAGCAATTTACATACCTCGTTGAAGGACATAGTTTGTGATTTGGCTGGTGTTTCTTCCCTTTTTTTCCTGAGCAGTTATATTCTTGAGATCCAACAACATCAAAACTTTCAAAGTTATCACATTCTAGTTTATTTTTAGTTAGTTTTTCTCATCAGCACAATAATGGAAGAGAAAATTAATTTGCTGTTACTATGTATATATGTATTAATCATGATCTTACATGTTTCCTTTCAGTAATAGATATGAGTTCCAGTTTGGTTTCTCCTGAGTTTGGAACTACTTTCCTTTCATGTAGCCAAAGAATTATACCTCCTAAAGTGGGAATTTTGAGATCCAATCCATCACAAAGCCTCAGATTTCTTGATTCTTCAAAGGTAAGTCAGATGTATAATAATTTTTGGATTTCCAACTGCATACTAAGTTACTAACCATTGTTGTGTTGCAAATCGAATGATAATTTCCACTATTTTTTTTACAGTATAGTGGCAAGAAATCGAGACAATCATTAGTAATTAGATGCAGTAATAATCCTCAAAATGTTGATTTGCCACGTTACTATTCCAAAAAAGAAAAGAAGCCATTTCCTGTACCAATTGTGGAGCTCCGGCGAGCCGCCAGGCAGAGGATGAAGAGCAGCAAAGGCCAACCTAAAAGATCCGGCCCTCCGCCTCCTAAAAACGGGTTGCTTGTTCAAAGCATGATTCCTCTTGCATATGCAGTGTTGAATGCAAGAACGTCATTGATTAACAATCTCAAAAGGCTACTAAAAGTAGTCCCCGTACAAGCCTGCAAGTAATTCACACATTTACCAAAAAACTGCAATTTTTGTCTCATTCATATCAGTCTCAGTCTAATATACCACAACTACTCTACTACTGTCAGACTGTCACACTATCCTGTCATGTCGTGTCATGCACTACATTGACTTGTCACACTGTCGTGTACCGTCTTGTCATGTCGTGTTGTGTACTGCCTTGAGTTGTCACACTGTCCTGTACCGTCATGTCATGTCGTGCCCTGTATTGTCACACTATCATGTCATGTCTGTGTACTGTCACACTATCATGTCTGTTTTACACTGTACTATTTGTTTTGAAGTTGATATGTTTCATATCTTTCTTTTTTGATAGGTATTGCAATGAAATACACGTTGGACCTATAGGCCATCCATTTAGGTCATGTCAAGGGCAAAATTCGTCAATTCGGAAGGGAAAACATGAGTGGGTAGATGCGGTTGTGGAGGACATAATCGTCCAAATTGAAGCCTACCACCTCTACGATCGTTTAGGAAAACGTATCCCACATGAAGAGAGATTCTCAGTCCCTCGAATCCCGGCTTTAATCGAGCTATGCATTCAAGCAGGAGTCGAATTACCAAAATACCCCACAAAACGAAGAAGAAAACCCATAATCCGTATCGGTAAAAGCGAATTTGTCGATGCCGACGAAAGCGAACTCCCGGATCCAACCCCGGAATCCCCAATTCCGGAGTTAGTTACCGAAACACCCGATTGGGAGATTGTGGCACCGTGTAATGAAGAGGAGATAACTTTACTTGCAGAAGAGACACTCAAAATGTGGGAGAAAATGAGGGGAGGGGCGAAAAGGTTGATGAAGATGTATCCGGTGAGAGTTTGTGGGTACTGCCCGGAGATCCATGTGGGTCCCACGGGTCATAAAGCACAGAATTGTGGGGCCTACAAGCATCAGCAACGGAATGGGCAACACGGGTGGCAGTCGGCGGTTCTTGATGACTTGATACCGCCACGATACGTGTGGCATGTCCCGAACATGGCGGAACCCTTGTTGCAGAAGGAGCTGAGGAACTTCTACGGTCAGGCTCCGGCGGTGGTGGAGATGTGTGTGCAGGGTGGTGCCGCCGTGCCGGAACAGTATAAGGGGACAATGAGATTAGATGTTGGAATTCCTAGTAGTGTTAGAGAAGCGGAAATGGTGGTTTGAATTCCATATGTTCGGTTTTGATTTGTAACGATTAATATACAAACATGTTATTAGTTTGTGAGAAAATGAGGTAATAGTAATTGTGATATTAATAATTACAGAAAAATGAAAAAAGTGATAAGTTTACATCAGCATAATTAATTAAATAGATATCATTAGAAATGATAACTTATTTTGATTTGTGCTTATATTAAAGACTTTAGGCCGAATGGTATATGTTTCACGAAGGTATTTCTGCCACACAATAGAGATTTGGAAAAGTATTTACATGAATAGTCACTATGATTTCTTGTAATATGTACTTTTCATCCTTATTCTTTTGGATGTTACTAAAAAACCTTGTGATGTGTGTTTTCATCTTTAATTTTTGGACGTTACTAAAAAAACCTCACAAGATGTGGCATGTGTGTGTTAAGTGAATGCACATTACACCCACACACATGTCGAGTTCATTTAAATTTTAAGCCATCGTATTTTTTTCTTTTTATTTGGACAGTCTTTATGGTATAATTTTGTTATTAATTTATTCCATGTGTCATTCTTGGTGTACATGGCTTGCCACATCATTCCAGATTGTCCAAATATTGACATCCTGGTTCGTATGATTTTTAAAATTTGCCCCCTTGATTCTTTCTTTTTTCGTACTTATAAGTATTTACACTTTGTTTAATTTTGTTGAATATTTTTGCATATTGATATTTAAACTTTTAAATAAAAAATGTATTTGACCACACCATCTTTCACAATGAAGGTATACTACCATTCAGAATGAATGAACAAAATGAACTACCATTTCATGTGAAGTACAATTACAAAAACAAGTACCATTTCATGCAAACAACAATTACCATTATCAAACTAACACAAAAGACATTGCAATTTCATTTAAACATGGAAAAATCTGTAAAAAAAGTTGTTATATTTTGATTCTACTGACAAAAAAGTCACTCTTGATTATTATTATTATTATTATTTTCAATTTAATCATTGAAACTGGTAAACACTTGCAAAATAAGTGCTGGTTTTAAGGGTTAAATTGCAAAAAAAAAAAAAATCATGAATGACTTTTTTGTTAATAAAATTAAAGTTTAAAGATTTTCTGGAGATTTTCTTTTTTTTATATATACTAAATTTGTTTGAAGAAAACTTATATTTATTAATTTATTTTTGTTAAAAAAACACAATAATGATAATTTCTATGTTATTTTTGGAATTTTTTGTATTCTCTTTAATAAATATCATCACTACAATCATAAATATTATATCATTTATATTCTATATAGCTTAAGAAGACTTTGTTGATTTGTCACAAGAAGTGAATTTCTAGACCAAATGTTGTTTCATTGTTGTATTTTAGGTCTTGGTGTAAAACGTTTACTATAAAACTACAACTTATGAAATATCCTTTCACAATCGAACAGAGTCTCATAAAATAAAGGTTTACAAGAGGCTGCTATACCTAAATAGAGCTCTATTATACATACTATGTGTCTTAGAAACACATATATTACGACAAATCAACAAAAGTCTATTTTTGTGTTCACTAATGCCTCATATTTATCCAGAAATTTCATTTTAACCTTTTATCAGGTTTTACACCCTCTTAATCGGTCACTATTGTCATAAAAACACTCGTATTTACACATCACCACCACTACACTGTCACCACCACCACCCTTTTCCACCAACAACACCATCTTCACCACAAAACACCGGTAGCCCCATCAACACCATCTCCGACCCACCTTCTGCATTTTTTATCTCCGACTTACCATCATCACCATCATTCATCTACTATTCTTTCTCTTTACCACATGATGAAAAGCCTAAAATAATAAAACTAAATGTGAGGCATTAACGAACACAAATTCGGACTTAGAACATAACCACATATTTCATGTAAATATGAGGATTTTTATAGCGATAACCCTAATATAAGAGTTGCAATAGTTATAAAAGCACATGCTAAATACAATTAATAGAACTTTTGTTGATTTGTTGTAAAAAGTGCGTTTCTAAGCCACATATATCATGGAGTTCTATATAGAAATTACATTTACATGGTATCTTTATGATGTTAGTAAGGGTAATCTTTAAAAAATTCCTAATGTTTTAAGTAATTTTTTAATAAAGTCCTAATTTATTTTTCGAACAAAAAAATCCCGACTTCTTAACTTTTTTTAATAGAAAAGCATAAAAACCGGTTAATTTATTCACTTTAGCAATTTTTGATATGTTCAGCAAGTTATGAGACTAAATCATTAATTTGTTTAAAATAATGAGATTTTTCTACAGATTTCGTCAAAACTTGTATGTGATGTATAAACGTATATTTTTTTTTACATATTTATATATATTTGTACGTATTTATGTACTTTTTAAAGTTTTTATATGTATATGTTAACGTATTTTTATGTATTTTAAATGTATAAATGTATTTTTTACGTCTTTATAAGTATTTAAAATATATTTTTTATGTATTTTTATGTGTTATTTTTTTTATGTATTACGTATTTATATCTATTTTTACGTATTTATGTATTTTTTTTAAAGTTTCTATATGTATTTGTTTACATTTATTATGTATTTTAAATTTATAAACATATTTTTTACGTATTTATATGTATTTTTTTAAAGTATTTTACATATTTATTTATTTATTTTTATGTGTTATTTATTTATGTATTGCGTAATTATGTATTTTTTTAAGTTTTTTATTTAGATGTTTATTTATTTTTATGTATTTTAAATGTATAAACATATTTTTTTTACATATTTATTTGAATTTTTAAGTATTTTACATATTTTTTATGTATTTCTATGTGGTTTTTTTATGTATTACGTATATGTATTTTTTTAGTTTTTTTATATAGACGTTTGTGTATTTTAAATGTATAACCGTATTATCGTTACGTATTTGTGTATTTTTTACTTCAATTCGTCTTCATCATTTCATTTAATTTGCACAACTTCTTCAAGTAAGTCTAGATGATTTTCCTACATACCATCTAAAGAAGATCATGATTTAATTGACTTTTTACTATGGGTTTTAGGTTTTAACAACATGATAGAAGTTGATCCGATCGTTGATGTCCAAACACATGCAATTTTGTTGCTCGAAATGGCCATGGAAGTAGTGAGTACAAGTGTTTTAGAGTGATTAAGGTTTGATTTCTTTAAACAAATAGTAAACGTCATAAGGAAAAGAACCTCACCACAAGCAATGAAAGCAGCCTTAAGAATGTTAATCGACGTGTGCCCTCGGGGAAGAAACAAAATAAAAACCGTGGAAGCTGGTGCAGTCTTCGAGCTGCTACAACTTGCAGTCTTTGACGTCTATACATTTAAAATACGTAAACATAAAAATACATAAATGTCTACATAAACGAACTAAGAAAATACATAAATAAGTAAAATACATATAAATACGTAATTCATAAAAAACACATAAAAATACACAGTATATGTAAAATACTTAAAAATACATACAAATATGTAAAAAAAAAATACTTTGGTATATTTAAAATACATAAACATCTATATAGAAAACGTTAAAAAATACATAAATACATAAAAATGCATATAACTACGGAAAAAACACGTCTATACATTTAAAAATACATATATATAGAAAATTTTAAAATATATAAATACATAATACATAAAAATATATGTAAAATGGTTTAAAATACATATAAATACATAAAAAAAATACATTTATATGTTTAAAATATATTAAAACATGTAAACATATACATATAAAAACTACAAAAAATACATAAATATGTAAAAAAAATATATAAATACATAAAAATTAAGTTTATACACTATATAAAAATTTTGACGAAATCTGCAAAAAAATCTTATTATTTTGGAAAAATTAAAATTTTGGTCCTAAGACCTTCTGAACCGGTCAAAAAAGGCTAAATTGAATAAGTTAGCCGGTTTCTTGGGCCTTTTTATTCAAAAAGTTAAAAAGTTGAGATTTTTCTATTCAAAAAAAAAAAAATTAGGACTTTATTAAAAAAAATTCCTAAAGTCGCAACATGCATAATTAGTAAAGTCGCAACGGAATTGAACGCCTTTTATTATTGAATTTTTTGAAGTTTATTTTCATTGCTATTCTAGTTTTAATTATGAACAAAACCCCCTTTTTATATTTCATGTTTTTTACTAGTATGTGCCTTGCACAAAGATCCATTGACTTTTAGGTTGTGTCGTTGTGGATTCGACTCTATTTCCCTATGTTATCCTTTAGTGCATTCGAGTATTGATTTTTATTTGTTTAGTCGCTTACACCATGTTTAATAGTGTTGCTAAACTATGGCAATATGTGTAGATGTGCAAAGAGTGAGTGTTCTTGTAATTAGCAGGGTGTCTTGAAGTTCTACAAGGGTCATGGAGTCAATCTTTGAGATGTGCTACACGTTCTTGGTATTTCGAAGGGACTCATATCTGTTGATAAGTTTGATGAGAATGGTTATAAGTTTTGTATAGAGAATGTTTGAGTGGGGTTTACCCTAATTGGATTCTTTGTTGGTCATGTCACTAACACTCGTAGAATGTATCAGCTTGACTTAAATGAAGATGGTGGTAATCATTATGGATCTAGGTCTGGTGTTTCTGTATTAGATGTAGTTTTTAGTGATGGTGTTAGTGTTAGTAAGAGCGGTCATGATAGTGGAGCTATTTTCGGTGATAATGGCAGTGTCGGTAGCAATGATGTAACTGATTTTGAAGTGAATGAAATTATGTTTTTTTTATTATATCGCATGTTTAATTTCTGTATGGCACACACAAATATTAAAAATACTAAAAAAATGATAACTAAAGGTATAATAAAAGTAAACAGTAAAGATTTTGATAAATGTGAAATCTATGTAAAATTTAAGTTTACTAAGAAATCTTTTCCAAGTGTTAGATGTGTTACACCATTACTTCAACTCATTCACTTTAATAACTATGAACTAAATGGAATACTTACACAATGATGTAAGAGATATTTCACCACATTTTATGATGACTCAATTCAATACGCATATGTTTATTTATTACGATCAAAAGACGAAGCTTGCGGCGCATTTAAACTATATAAGGTTGAGGTTGAAATCAACATGAGAAACGCATAAAGATTCTTCGCTCTGATAGAAGAAGAGAATACTTCAATCGAGATTTTGCTACATTCCGCACAGAGAATGGTATCGTACATGAAAGAAATTCACCTTTTTACTCCCCAACATAATGGTTTGGCTGAAAGAATGAACCA